ACGGGTAGCGACTCCGTTGCTGACTGGTATCTTCGTCGTCGTTGCGTCGGTCTTCGTCAGCCGTTGTTGTTGTCTACGGCTGGCAGAGGGCAATGAGCAGGTTCTAATCGCCGACTTTTCGCCGTCTGCCTGTCCCACAACAGCCTCCTCGGCCGTTGGTAACCCGGGTGACGACCGAGCCGGTAAAATTTTCGATGGCGTCAATACGATGAGTGGCAGGTAGCTAAATTTTGCGGAGACTTGCCACGGTCTCCAACCCTCCTCCTTTCTCAACCGGGCTTAGGGCCGGCAATGCCGGAGTTGCGTAACGAAGTTCGATTTACGACTTTAGAGAAGTGATTTGTATTGACAGTCGCTTTTAATTTTCTGTTTAAATTTTTGGTATTCGTACGTTCTATATATTTGATTGAAAAACACTGGCAAATGTGTCGAGGCTGGAATCGATTTGCTGCCAGGGTAGAATACGGTTTCAGGTTTTAAATTAAGCCGTCCAGGTTTTATTGAATGACCTCTAAAACGTTTTGTCCAACTGTGCCATTTACATGTGGAAGCAGAATTCTAATTCAATTTCCTCAAACTCGGTCAGTACTGAAAGCTTTTCTGGAGTAGTTGTGTGCAGGGTAATAATAGGCAAATTCGCCAACACCTGGCGAAGAAATTAAAGGACATATATTTGAAGATGCATATGACATCACCAAAGTTTACTGAAACGCTAACAACATCAGTTATTTGAACTAAAAATCCTCCAACTTATGAATATGCCAGATTAACAAGAATATCAAGTGGCCAAACAACAAAATGAACGGTTGAATAAAATCGTACATATCACAGAGAAAAGAGTCATTTTGACATCTAATCGGATATTTTATTAAGCGGTGATGGTGAAAACAGGCCTGCGACGAGCTCGCCGAAGGTTATGTTTTCGGCCAGATGGTCTGCGACATTTTCGAGGCTTTCGAACCTGTGCTCGTGAGAAGTCTTGTATGCCTCTGAAGTTCCTCGCTTGCTCCTGCTGGCGTTAACTGCTGTAGTTCTGATTAACTCGGATAGTGCGTCCCAGCTGACCAACGCGTCGTTGAACAATGGACCAAAATCGGAAATTGTATTATCGTACTCGATGTGCACCCGAAACACGTCGTTAGTCAACGGATAAATGACGATCAGCACGTCACAAAATTCAGTCGGTATGATCGAACGCCGATAGTCGCGCCAGTGTTCCGACCAAACGATGTGCACTTCATCGTTGCCCAGGTGTCTCAATTTCTTGTTGATGTCCGTACAGCTGAGGCGGGTGCTGATGTGGAATATGACCTCGAGCATCGGTGTACAGTAATATGCGGTTGTTCCGTCCGGCGGCAAACCACCCATGTAACCGAGATGCGTCTTTAAGTCGACCTCCCAGCCGAGTGCGGAAATGAACCGCTCGAAGGCCTTCGAGCCGGTTCGATTGCTGAGGATTGACTGCTTGTCTTCTTGACCAGGAGCAACATAGATTACAGCGATCTTGTGCAGCTCATGGAGTCTGATGTTGTCAATGTGTTTCAGCTCGAGGTTAAGCTGCCGCGACTTCTCCAAAAGCTTTACGCTGCCCGTTGTTTCCCACAAATGATGGTAGAAGGCATCGAGCAACATGCGGCAAGCACTGAAACGATCGGCGCAGCCGAAGTATTCGATGAAAGTCATCATCGAGCCGCGCGAATGACACTCGCTTTCAGCAACCAGCTTCATCGGCTTAATGACCGGGATGTCAGGTATAAACGAGTCGAAGTCGGCTGCGGCCTCCTCACCGCACGCCGATCTGAGGAAGCACTCAGGGCTGGTTTCAAGCAGATAGTCAAGTAGCGAGTCGACGAAATGAGATCCGGCAGCAGCGAAGTCATCGCTGGGCCGCAGCGCACCACGTTTCGATCCGCCACGGCTTTTGTCGTTGGGTAGCGACAAACTAAGCAAGCCACGATTGAGGTCGCGAGACGGTCGACCGCAACGGTTCAGGCGTCTGATCTGCCACGAATGCTTTTCAACGATATTGCGAAACGCGAACCGACTGCATTCGCTGCCGCTGACGCCGCTATTTCCTTTGTCGACGCTTTCAAACGCGGCAATGTGCCGGTTCTTTAACGATGAGTAGACGCCGATCATTTCGTTCGGCGGTCTCTCTGGTGCACTAAAGCTATACGGGAAAAGTTTTTGGTCAAAGTAACAATTAAGCAATGCACAAACAACCTTCGGAAGGACAGAACAAGAACGCTGGCTAGCCTTTATGAAACAAAGCTGAATAAGACGAAGATAAGACAAAAGAAACGACTGCCTGCGTTCTGGCGACGCGATGAACTCTGGAGGCAAAGACAGACACCACTGGCACAGGTCTAACAAAATACGAGTCTGCAGACGCTGCTTGAGATCGGAACAGGGCAGCGCGTCAGCGTCCGTCGTTTCAAGGAAAGACTGAAGCGCCATCAGGTAGACAGTGAACAGATCCTCGATCAGAAACTGAAACAACGTGATCAGCTGCGGTATCACGGACAGTAACGGATGTAGCATCTGGCAGATGCACAGGCTGATCTTGCAGTTCGAGAAGTTGATGCCATTTAGCAATATTGTGAAGCTGTCGCGCAGCACGTTCGTGAATTTGCCCTTGACTAGTTGTGAGAACACGAACAACGACAGACCTTTCAGCGACAAAACAGTAACATCATCGTCGACGTTTTTTTTCACCACCGTCGACAGAAGACCGACCATATCGAACAGTAATTTCTCGGCGTCCATCTCGATGATGCGATTCTGCGAGTCGATGCAAGGGATGGATTTTAATGACGCCACTAGACATATTGTGCTAGCGGCGAACGTCGCCACAGGCGGATACTTAGTGCCGTCTGGTAGGTGCGAATTGAGTATCGACATGCAGCCACGGTACAGATCATACAATAATGCTTGACAGCCGCTGACATTGCGATAAAAGATTTCCGGTGCGCAGTTTTTCACCACCTCCAAGATCAGCTCTTCTTGGTCAGACAACAACGTATTGTGTAGCACTAGCAAAAAGCTGGCATTATCCACGCGGCTTAGCGGGACATCTTGTCTGCGCGCATAAATGCGGCAGATTAGACGCACAGCCAGTATCTTGCTCGACCTATAGCTTTTGGAAAGCTTCAGAGAAGTGATCAACCATGGTGCGAATATCGTGAAAGGTGGTACCAGACTGGGAGGGAGTGCACTGGCCTTCGACGCGCTGCCGTCGATTGCGACGCCTTGGTTGAAGCGGATTTTGAAGAACGAGTTGATGACTGTCTCCAGGATTTTTAAACAGCGCAAGTGGATGCTGGCATCGGTAATCTCGTTAATGTCGCCGAGGATGCCAACGATGCGGCGCCACGCGATCGCGTAGTTTTCAGGGGTAGAGCTGCGACAGAAGCCGTCATCTTCGGGAAACTGCTTAGGCAATAACTCGAGAGAAGGCGAGCGAGCGTTCGGCTCCTCCGGAGTCACGAACTCCTCACTAATACTGTCCGCATCATTGTTGATCAGCGACGAATCGGCCGATACGTCGTCGCTCTGCGCCGCGTTCTTCGTGTCGTCCAGTGACACATGGGGCAATTTCGTGTGGTCAGCGTCGAAGTCACTGTCATCGGACGCTGCGGACTCGTCCTCCTCGACCGAAAGCGCTTGATCGCTCGTTTCTGCTGATGGTGTCGCTGATGTTGTCTCTAACGCAGCGCTGGAAGTCATTTTCGTTGGAGATTTCTCCATTTCTGATGCTTCCGGAAGTGCCGCCTCAGTCTTCAGATCAAATGCCCTCGCCAGATCATCCGCGTCTGCAACGGTGACGGCATGAACGACACACGTTGAATTTCGCTTTACACTAGCACACGAAACCGTAGCCTGCTCCGGAAACTGACAAAAGTTATACTCCTGTTGTTCTGTCATGCCCACGCTGGCCCCAGTTCCAGGGGCTGTTCCACTGCCGCCTTCAAGAACTTCCTCAGAGGGCAGCAACGAGCGTGAAACACCCAACCGCCGCTTGGTCTTCTGCTCAGATAAACGTTCCAGCGGTGGGTCGCAAACATCCACGCCATACAGGTGAATGCCAAGCGCTCTGGTGAACAGTACCAGTATGTTGCCCCATTCGACAATCAGTTCGAGCCACGCCGTGCGACTGCTGCACAGTATTGTCAGCTTGTCCCACATCTCGTTCGGCACCGACACGTTAACGTTGGCGCATGCCCAAATGCCGATCAACGTGCGAAACACTGATGATGAGATGTGTAGCGAAATATGAGGCCGTTTGAGGACGGTCGGCGTGACTGGTATTATATCCTGAGTGATGCGTAGCAGGACGGTAAGGAGAAACTGCCACGTAGCCTCGTTCATCACGGGGCTGCTTTCATCAGGTTTCTCGTCCGACTTGAACTTGGCTAGACGGCTAAACAGCGCCAGAATCATGTTACTGACGCGTACGATGACGTTAGTGTACTCGTTTCCCTCCAGCAGATATTTGTTGCAGAAGAAGGTGCTAAGCACAACGAGAATGCCCTGAACGCTTTTTTGCACTCCAATGCAACAAAATGCACAATTCGCTGAGCCGCTTTCTGACGTCGGGGACGGATTGAAAAATGGAGGCTTATCCTTGGAAAGTAACCACTCTCGCAACGTCTTGAAAACACGGTACATAAGCACTACGAACGAAAAAGGCATCAGGAAGCTTTCGCGCAAAATACCAAAGGTAAAATTGACAGTTGACAGCGAACCAAAAAGCACTTTTCGGAAGAGCACGTAATTTACGGGCAGCTTCACATCACCTTTAGCCGCGGCCAAGCCATTCTTGCCACCATGTTTTTCCGCGTTTATCTCATTTCGATTGAACGAGTCGTACTGTTTTTTGTGACTAAACGTGTACGAAACTACCCAGCTGATCAGTAAGCTTTGGCAAACGATAAATGGGTCTTCAGGATTCGTCGATGCAAGGTTGCAATCGACACTATTATCCTGCGACACAAACTGCGGGTTGTACAGATCAAACGATGCGGCGTTGCGAAAACACAGCACCGCGTATCGGCTGAAAACCTTGGTAATCAAAAACCGCAAGCAACCCACTTGATTTTCGTCTGAGTCACGCCAGCGCAGTTTAGTCACGTCACCGCTGATGGAATCGAGGAGA